ATATATATATATATAACGATTTTTCATTTCCCATCTCATTGTCTTTTAACATATTAGAGATTGATAAAGGTGACATAAAGTCATAAACATTTAGTATAGTACACAATTTTTTTTATTCTTATGATTGAAAGGGATGAATTTTTACCAAACAAACAATCCAAACTAATTCAAACACCATATATGAACCATATTTTCCTTAATTACCAAATATTTAACATCTGTTATTTTTAATAGTCAGTTTTAGTTTTATGATAAACTGTCCAAACTAAATTACAAACACCAAATATTTAACATATATTATTTTTAATCTCTGTAGATACGTAACTTATTTAATTTATGAAAACAACATAATTTTTATAAGGTATTTTTCACTTATTTAATATTCAAGAAAAATATGCTTTTATCCCCATGTTGTGAATCAAATTTGGTCTTGGTCACTATATTTTTCAAATCGATGAATTTGGTTTTCAATTTTTCTGAAAACCTATGGTTTTAGTCTCTCCTTACTAATTCTGTTAGTGACTAAGTTTACCTGGCAATATATTTATTAGTAAATATATAAGAAATTAAAGGACAATTTTTCAATACTAACTAACACTGCTTTCTAATATAGTATTATCGTTTATCGATTTAAATTTCATATCTAATGAATCCTATTTTAAATTTACATATAATATTTGAACTTAATCCTTAAATTTTATTGCAATTTTCACTTCCTAAGTACAATTTTTCTGTTGATATTTTTATGTTTTGTAACTCTGTTTTAATTGGCTAATAAGTATTGCTTTAGTGCAATGACGGTTACAATTTTTGAATTATTTCTCTTTATGATAAATTATGTAATTGTTACCTTTAAAAGGGCTCCTCCTATTTTGAATAAAATAACCACCTTTTCATATTCTCTTTTCTCGATTATTATCAGTGGTATCAAGAGCTAGGTTAAGAAAAAGGCTGTAGTCCAAGAGTGTAAAAAAAAAAAAAAAAAAAAGAGAACAATTATCCCACCAATGACTTTTAAAAATTTTGTGCAGCCAACCATTCCATGTTTTGATGGTCACTACGACCATTGGAGCATGCTGATGGAGAATCTCTTGAGATCCAAGGAGTTCTGGCAGGTTGTTGTAGATGGTGTGGCAACACCAGGGGATGGTGTAGCTCTTACACATGCCCAACAAAAGGAGCTTGATGTCATGAAATTGAAAGACTTGAAAGCCAAGAATTATTTGTTTCAAGCCATTGATCGATCTATCCTTGAAACTATTCTTTGTAAAGATACTTCTAAGGATATTTGGGATTCAATGAAAAAAAAAATATCAAGGCTCCTCGAGAGAATCTCCGTCTGAGCATTAGTCATTAATGCTTTGACTTTCTTTGGTCTAGTCAACATTGTAGATGGACAAACTTTGTTTTCGTCTGGAATACTTTTCAGTCTATGTTGTCCTTCGTCTAATACGTGGTTGACTTTCTTCCGATTCTAGAGCAGCCTTCGTCTGAGTTCTCATGATGCGCTCTAGGTTGTGCTTGACATACCTTTGTCTGATATTTGATTCATTATTGTCTGGCGCACATTTCATATTTCATCTATCATTTGACTTTGTTTCGTGATGTGCTTTGCCTTGGCTTATCTTCGTTTGATACTTGAAGGAGTTCCGTCTTTGGTCTATACGGATTTCATTCAGTGCTTAACCACTTTTGTCTTGTTCTTGACTTAGTCTTGTTTGATACTTCACTACAAGAATTTCGCAGATTAGCGAGGGAATTTAGCGAGGGATATAAATCCAAGCTATTTCCTCGCTAATTAGCGAGGGACTGGCGAGGAATACAATTCCTCTCTAATCCCTCGCTAATTAGCGAGGAAATAGCTTGGATTTATATCCCTCGCTAAATTCCCTCGCTAAATAGGATCATTTTGCGACCAACCTTCATCTCCTCGCAAATTCGTCGCTAAAGCTAGTGCTTATTTAGCGAGGAACTTAGGCCCTCGCTAAATTATGAGCCAAAATATAAAAACGAATTTTTCATCTAGCGAGGGAGTTTTCTTGTCGCAAATCCCTCGCTAATGAGTTATAAGTATAGCCCTCGCAAATGCCTCGCAAATCCGTCGCAAATTAGTGAGGGAAAAGGTCTTTCGCTAATCCCTCGCAAATAAGAGATTTCGTTGCTAGTAGAATTTGAAATTCAAGTATTTGTAAAATTTCTTGAAATAGTAGAATTTCAAATTCTCCCAAAAAAGTAAGAATTTGAAATTCCTCATATTTTTTTCTTTTTATTTTACTTATATATATTTTATCTTATTTGTTATCTCTTCATTTTTTT